CACACACACACACACACACACACACACACACACACACACACACACACACTAAAAGAAGTCTTTAAAATATCTAAAAATGAACAAAACAGCTAGAATGAAGAGAACGAAGAGAGTTAGAGAGAGGAAGGAGAGTCTCAGATGGGATAACACAGGGCGAGGAAGTTCACAGGTCCCCACCTGTCAATGCTGGACTTGGTGTCAGCAATCTTGTTGAGGCTGGCTACCCGGAACCCGTAGGCACCCCCACGCTGCCCCTTGTTCATGAAGTTGCCGATGGCTAAGACCACCTCCAGCATTTTCTTGAGGCGCTTGCTGAGGGTCAGCTCTCGGGAGGCCAGCAGGATGGCTGGGGGAAGAGGAACAGCTCAGGATGCTACACAGACAGAGCCAGGGTAGCAGGGTTCCTGGCTCTTCAGGAGAATGATGGAAGGGGCTACCTTTTCAACTCTCGGGTAGAGGCTATCCACTCTGGTCCAGATCCCTCCATTTTTCCCCTTCAGGACAAAGCTAGCGTACCCTCAGATTAGACAGCCCCTTGAATGACTTAGATTATCTCACCACGCACATAAAGATTTTTATACTTTTCTGAACATATACTTGAATATGGCAATTTTCCTAGACCTAGCAAATGCTGTGCCTTCTAAATAGTTTTATTATGGGATGTTTGACACATTTTGAAATCCTAGATTGTATGTTCATGTGGATGCACAGGTGTATGCATGCATGTGTAGGTATGTGCACACTGCATGTCAGAGAACAATCTAGGGTACCACTCTCAGAAGACAGCAGCGCCTGTGCTCTGAGATAATGGCAAGAGGGCTAGATCACCCTGTAGTCTCTGGCGATGCTGGACTGGAATGCCAGGAGATGCTCATTATGAAGATAAAATGAAGGCTCTTGGACCTTCTTGAAAGATGATGCTCCCATAGGTGGGAACACTTGTCACGAAAGCAAGAGGATCTGAGTTCAAACCTCAGCACCTATGGAAAAGGCCAGACATCTCCATTTGTAGGGCGGCCACCTAATGAGAAAGGGGAGCAGCCAGACAAGAGGATCCTGGGAGCTTCCCAACCAGACAGTACAGCCCAGATGACAAGTTTTAGGTACAGTGACAGATTGTCTCAAAAAGCAAGATGGAGAAAGAGAGGAGGACACCTCATGTCTGAGGTTCCTCAGGCCTCTGCATGCACGCTCATGAGTGTGTATACATGTGTGCACATCACACACACACACACACACACACACACACACACACACTCACACACACAGAGTGAACACAGAAACATATCACATACAAAGGAAAATCCCAGACAAAAAGTTTGCAGGAATTTTCAAAGACAGTTTAAAAAAAAATAAGTAGCCATGAAGAAGATATTATAAAAATAAGAAATAAGTGAAGGCTGTCCAGAAAGCCCTTAGATCACACAGACGCACGTTCTATGAATGCAAAGCAACCCTGTTGTGAGTGCACACTTAGGTTGTTCCCAGTGCATGCATGTGTATGTGTGTGTGTGTGTGTATGCACACATGTATGTATCTGTGTATATGTATGTGTATGTGTATATGCATGTGTATATGTATAAGTATATGTATGTGTATATGTGTGTATATATCTGTGTATATCTGTGTATATCTGTGTATATGTGTGTATATCTCTGTTTATCTGTGTATATCTGTGTATGTGTGTATACAGAGGCTGGAGATTGACATGAAATATGTCTTCCTCAATCACTCTTCCCCTTATTTTTGAGACAAGTTCTCTCAGTGAACCCAAACCTTGCCCTTTTGGCTAGGCTAGCTGGCCTGGGAGCCTCAGGGATCTGCCAGTCCGCATCCACAGCACTGGGTTACAGGCATGCCCCCACGCCCAGCTCTCAGGATTTGGAAATGTGAGTTCTGGAGTCAGGTCCTCACGCTTTACTGCAAGCACTATACCAACCTGACATCTCCCCAGCTCCCCCAGCCCAGTTTTTTTTTCCCCAAAACTACAAACCAGAACACACAAATTGCCTTATAGTGGAATAAAACATAGCGCTGAAAACTGCATACCCACCCTCTACATGTATCTCTAGGGAGAATTCAAAGATTGCTAAGCTGTTGTACAGTAGTACCCTCCAAGTCCCACAACCACGGTCTTCAGGAGTTTAGTTGCAGTTGCTTGTGAATCCCACTGAGTTTCTTGACTGTCAGTGTTCCCTCATAGAAGCAGGGAAGAGGGATCAAGCAGGGTCCTGGAACTCTCATTACGTGCCCATCCACTCCCCCAGACACCTGTATGCAATTTTGACCTAATTGCTGAGTGACCTTGAGGTCTGGGCGGGAGTGTGGGAGCTGGAGTACGTAAACTGGAAAAGACTAGGGGAAGGGGCTCCGTTTATCAGCCATGGGGAAGCCATCATCCATGCTAGGCACAGACCTTCCAGTACAGCTGCTTTGTAGTCCCCCACACTCCTGTAAGTAACCCCTCATTGGTTCCCCAGGGTGAGCTTCGGTGACCTTTAACTTAAGTTTGCCATTTGGGGCCTTAGCAAACGGTAAGGCAGACATTGTCTAGATCAACAGCCCCCACCACCTTTGGGGGGAAATTCTTAAGGCACAAACCAAAAAAAAAAAAAAAAAAAAAAAAGCAATCAGAAAATCACTTCAAAAAACACCGTTCCATTTATAGAAAATACAAAACAGAAAAACTCATCCAGACGTCAAGCTAGCTCTGAAGAGGAGAGAGGAAAGCTTCCCCGGGAGGGGACATGTTTTTACTGTTTGGAAGGGGGATACAAAGAAGAGCTGGAACCAGGCGGTGGTGGCCCACGCCTTTCATCCAAGCCCTTGGGAGGTAGCGGCAGGAGGGTCTCTGTGAGTTTGATGCCACCTTGGCCTAAATAGTCAGTTTGAAGACTGTCAGACTATGTAAAGAGACCCTGTATCAGGGGTCAGGGGAAGGGGCTTGGCTGAAGAAATGGCTCACTGTTAAGGCGAACTCTCACAATCAGAGGAGCAGAAGGGATACACTCAGAGCCAAGGCACATTCAGTTTCTTGACCTGAGTTGATTATGTGGACAGGAAAGGAAGAGACATACGAATCGCCCAGGGGGAACAGCTGTATTGTATGTGCTATATTGCAATAAAAAGTTCATTTTCCAAAAAAAGTAAACAAAACCTACTTGCAAAAATCCTCAGCAATTTACGTGGCTAGGGGTAGTTCTTCTAAGGTTGATGAGCTGTTTGAAAAATCTACGATGGGGTAGCCTTTAAAAAAAAATGCTAAAAATGTTGGCAAAACAGAAAATGATAAGAGTTGAGAGGAAATCAGGAGATGAGAAAACTGCCGTCTGCAGTGCTGACATTTCAGACGCTTGTGAGAATAATGCGTTCATGGATGCATCCGTAAGGATATTACATTTGCGGCACATTCATCTGGGCTATATTTAGTGCATCTACTTGTAATGAGAATTGGTAATTTTGGTGTACTCAGCAATGAATGTATTCATAGGGAGAATAGGTTCAAAGCGGAATTGGGAAATTTGTCAAACTTGGTAAACCTCGCGGAAGCAACTTCCCCTCCCCGGAGCCTCGTCCTGGAGGGCGAGAGGTGGGTGCCGATGGCTCAGCACCCAGCTGAGGTGGGCTCAGTCTTAGGCACTTCAGGAATCCTTCTGGGAGACCTAGAAGCTCAACTCCTGAACAGCCAAGCACAATGATGTGGCTGCGTGTGTATGCTCTCAGGTATGCTCCCCGCCCCCAGCCCCTCAGGGACAGCAGTCATCCCTAGTGGACGGATGTCTTTTGGATCCCGCCTATAGAAGTTTGATATCCCTCCCCCCCAAATATTTTTGTTCTCTCCAGCAAGTCTTTCTCTGTGCAGCTTGATTTTAAAGAGAAACCTTATGGGACATCCTGGCTGAGTCTTGAAGTTTAGGCACTTGCTCCTTGGAGCAACTAACAGTCTAACATGAATCCTTTGGGTGCCTAAGCTACTCTGGTTCCATAATTCCAAATGGCCGCCACACACACTTGCTTCATTGACGTAAGATACATAAATAGTGGAACACCTACAGCTTAGCCTGAACGCCCCTAAAGTAGCTTGAAGCAGAAAGAGGGTGTAGACGAAAATAAGGCCTTGCCCACCACCAGGGAAGGAGATACCACACAGATGATTGCTCTATTCTACTGTTATAAAACAACAATCTGCAATCCCTTGTTGCACACATGTGTGTGTACATACTGAACACTCCTGCCATCTCTATAAACTCCCACTCCAGAAATCCCAAAGCAGCCTTTGAGAAAGCCCTGGCTTGCCCTCTGAACTAGGCATCTCAGAGAATGTCCAGCAGGGGGCGCCTATGTCCTGCTATGCCCCCAGCAGGGGGCGCCTATGTCCTGTTATGCCCCCAGCAGGGGGCGCCTATGTTCTGCTCTGCCCCTAGCCTGACACCCTGAGCCTCCAAGACAGTCTCTTGTTTTGTTTGTTTGTTTGTTTGCTGTGTTTTGTTCTGCCATGTAAATTTTGTACTTACCCCAAGTGAGCCCCCAAACAGTTTCTCCTGCTTCTGCCTTGCTAGGTGCACATATCTGCTTACCATCCTGCCCACAACTTCCCTAGCCCTGCTCCTCTGCTGTCCCACAGGCAGCCCCAAGGATAGGTCTCTGACAGGAGCTCTGAGTGACGAGGGACTGGGGTGGGGAATGGGGGAAGAAGGGATCAGTTGGAAAAACAGCAAGCATCTACATTGTTACAGCATTCCTCAAGGATCTCAGAAACGGCAATCTGGAGGAGGCCTCTATCACCAGACACCTCTAGGGACCACCTTGTGCAACTGGCTGCCTTCCGGTGAGCTCACATTAACGCAAACATGCCCAGTAGAACCCAGCACTTCTTAAGTAGGAAAGAGTGGATGACTCTGGGCATGCCAGACCCCAAAAGGATGCTGGCTGCATTCCTATTTTCTTACCCGCTCCTCTGGGGGGCCGATGCCAAGGCAGAGGAAAGCATCATGTGATTGGCACATAAGCCAACATAAACAAGAACATTCTCTATAATAATTATAGTTCCAAGTTGGTGGTGCACTCCTGTAGTCCCATCACTTGGAAGATTAGGAGTTCAAGGCTAGCCTCAGCTACCTAGTAAACTGGAAGCTAGCCTAGGCCACATGAAACCCTGATGCAAAATGTAAATGTCATACTTTTAAATGTTCTGCTTGTCTTGGGCATCTCTCTGAGGTCAGGGTAAGGCAGACGTTTCTCTCTGCCCCATTAACCAATCCCCAGACACGTCCCCACTCCTCATGTGCGCTGCAGGCCCCAGCCCTACCTTCTACTTTGGGCTTGGCCTCAGCCAGCCGTTCCTGGAACTTCTTCTTGAAGAAGAGGGCCTGGAGTCGCTGCTGGTAATGGTCGATCCTGTGGACATAGTGAGTTATGTCACTGGTGGACCCAGCTTCTTCTTGAGGGATTCTTCCCTCCCTTTCCTTGACCAGAGCTGCTACCTGAACCCTATTTCTCCCGCTATACCTGGCGCCCTATTGTCAGAGCCTAGCCCTGAAATCTCCCTCTTCCCGCCATGCCCAGGGCCCTTCTGACCTGCTCATTTCATAGAGGAAGCGATCTGCGCGCGCCATCCGCTCAATCTCATGCTTGTGCTCTTCCAGGAGGTCGATGTCGCTCTTCTCGGGGATGAACTTGAGGAGCTGCAAAAGGCAGGCGTGAGTCAGATGGGAAACAGATGAACGGTCCGTACAATGTGGGGCTGTAGAGAAGTTCATGCGCTGCCTTTGTTCAGTGTGAGGAGGGGCCTGCTGAGGCAGAAGGACTCAAGGCCAACCTGGGCTACCTACCAATTTTTGAGGATTTCCTGGGTTACATAACAAGTCGAAGGCGAGCAAGCTTGAGTTACCTAGCAAGTTGAAACAAACCTGCTCTACCTGTCAATTTAGAGGTCAGCCTGGCTACGTAGTGAGCCTGGGTGTTTTACGCGAGTATGCAAATGCATCGTGTTTGTGCAGTGTCTGCAGAGAACAGAAGAGGGGATCAAATCCCCTGGAACCAGAGTTACAGAGGTCTGTGAGCCTCCAAGTGGGTGCTGGGAACTAAACCCTGCATGACTATAAGAGGAGCCGGCGCTCTTAGCACCTGAGTCATTTCTCCAGCCTTTGTGCTGTGGTTGGAAAGTATCCATCTAGAGTTCACACATGGAGACCGCCCAACTCATGGGTTAATGACGTCTAGCAGGAGAGCCTTTGGGGGTAATTCAGGTTAGACGAGGGCCCAAGAGTGAGCTCCTAGTAACGTCATTAGTGGCCTGATAAGAGAAATCTAAGTTATAGCATCTGCTCTGTCTCCTCCCATGATGCCCTCTACCATGCTTTGGTACAGCCCAAGTCCTCACCAGGTGCCAAGCAGACCCAGCACCATGCTCTTGGCTTTCAGAACCATGAGCCAAGTCAACTCTTATTTATAGATTAACTGGTCTCGGGCATTTTGTCATAGCCACAGAAAATTAGCTACATCACTATGTTCAATTTGCATCTTTCACTCAACATAACCTCTGAGACCCATGTATGCTGTATACACTGGTTTGTCTTCATTTACTGCTTACTAGTATTCCACAGAAGGGATGTCCCACAGTCAGTTTATTCTCTTCCCTATTAATTAATCACTTGGGTTGCTCACCCTCTGGGAGGTTTAATAAATCAATCTGCTAAAATTATGTCTGTATATGTCTTTTAATATTCATAGTGGCCTCTCTTTAGCATGTGCCTAGCCTTAATGTGCCTGCCCAATAATAGGTCTGTAAAGTGAGATGATTGGTAAATCCAGTTCTGCTATCCCTTCATCAACACATGGCTGTCGGTCTTTAATTTTGGCTAACGGGTGGGAGTGTGATGCTCCTCTCCTGTGGTTTGCTGTTTCTCTGGTGACGACTGACATTGGGACCCTTCAGATGCTCACAGGCTGCCAGGCACCGTCTTCCATAAAGCCATGGTTCAAGTCATCAGCTCAGTTTTCAAACTGCTTCTTTGGCTAGTTCCTCAGTGATCTGTAGTGCTCCTTCCCACGAACACACACCATTTATTATAACATTCATGGAAAATATTACCTACACTATTCCTTGCAATCACCTGAGGAAAAAAATAACATACTCTTTGATTGATGCCGGCTCCTTTTCTTCTTTTTTTAATATTTTCAAATTTATTTTAATTGATGCGTATGGGTGTTCGGTCGGCATGTATGCCTGTATCACCTGTGGATCTGGTGCCCACAGAGGTAGGAAGAGGGAGCCTGACCTCCTGAAACTGGCATTATGAGTGATTGTGGGCAAACATATGGGTGCCAGGAAATGAACCTGGGTCCTGTGCAGGCATCAAGTGTTCCTAACTACTGAGCCATCATCCCTCCAGTAGCCAAGCTCATCTCTTGAGATAGAGTCTCATGAAGCCCAGGCTGCCCTCAAGCCCTTGTGTGGGATTGTAGATGTGCACCACCACATTAAGTTTCTGTGGACATGAGGATGGACCCCAGGACTTCATGCATGGTTGACAACTGTGCTCTTCATTTTAATAATAATAATAATAATAATAACAATAATAAATAATTCCAATTGGCAGCATGCATGTTTGCCACTTGCCAGGTCTTTCTTAAAGGGCACCATCAATGAACTGACGTGGAAATTTGATGAGGAAATGACCATTGGTACCCTGACTCTTCCTTGAGACTTTTGCTGGGACCACAAAGTTCTCTGGCAGTCTGTTCTGTAGGAAAGGCTAGCCCAGGGGAGTTTCTTGAAACCTCTTCAGTGCCTTCAGATCCAAGTCTTTTCTACCTCAGGGCTTCAGCCTTTCTGGGATGGGGTAGAAAGTGGCATAGTTGTCCCCAGGTTGGCCTCTTCCCTCCCCTGAGGGTCCTCACCTGCTCCAACATGTCCTTTGCAAGGTCTTCTTGTTCATCCATCCTCAAGATGGCCTGCCGTATCTCATCATTAGTAAGCTTCAACCTACAACAAATCCACCTTGAGTAGTCTGGCCTGGCCCTCAGGACAGCCTCTGGGGCTTCTTTCCATAGTATGGCCTCATCTTCTCCTCTCCAGCCCTCAATTTGAACCTGCTCTCCCGCCTCCTCTATGAAGCCTTCCCAGGCCAATTTCATAATAGATCCTAATTTTAATAAAGAGGAAATATGATTCACTCCATATCTCCAATAATGAGTGTTTTAGTTTTCATCAAAGCCTGAGTCCCCGTTGGTTTGCTTGATCTTCCTCAGGGCTGATGAGACACAGGAGATTAAGACAGACAGGCAGAGGCATTCTGACAGTCTCCCTTTCCTCCTCCCTGCTGCCTCAAATGTCTTCAGCATCTCCGTGGGAGGACAGAGCAAGGGGCAGCAGAACTCTCTGTCTCTGACAGTGCCCAATTCCCATCCAGCTCCCACTAGCCTCCCAGGAGCCCCCACTCATCCCCCTACATAGTCCTTCTCCACCCCTCCAGGTACACACCCACTGATGACTCTAGGGAACCAGCCACCACCACCACCACCACCCCACTCAATGGAAGAAACTCAGGCCAGGGAACTTGTGGGAGGGCAGAGGGGGCAGATGTCCCAGAGGAGGCCGTAGGCGGCACTAAGAATAGAGCTTGGGGCGGTGCCCCTGACCCTGCCTGGGGGAGGCCCCCACACAGAAGCTGTGCTGTTAACACAGATACTGCTTGTTTGTTCCTAAGCCCAGGGAAATGCTTGCAGGCTGAGATCATGCTGCTCCCAGGCCTAAGCGGAGCTGGCCCTCCATGGGCTTAGGGCAGCTCCACTGGCAGATGCTAACTGGAGCCTCGTAAACCGGACAGTTTCCTGTCTGATGAGCCCAGTGCTGCTGCTTAACATGGGCTTGTAGGGTAGAGGTCTAGATCAGCATCCACCCCTCTCTCTCCTCCAGGGGAAGTCGGACAGGCAAGGCCAGCATCACCCCCCAGTTCCTCCACCACCTTTCCTCAGGCCTGCAGGTCAATGTCTATATTTGTTGTTTTGCAGTGCTCAGAATTAACCCAGGGCCTGGTGCACACTGGGCAGTCAAACAAGCACTCCACCACCAACGTATCCACATCTTAGTCCCTCCACTACTCATTCGGGACTTTTTTGGGGGGGAGGCGTCCCTTTACCTGCTACAGGTGAGCACCTACTTGGAGAGAAGAATGATACAGTTCTGGGCCCTCCGACCATCGATGACTGACAGCTCTTTAACCTTGCGGGAGGCTAGGTAGATGTCCTCCGTGGAGCCCAGTTCTTTCTGCAAATGTTGAGTTACAGAGGGACCAGTGAGGTAGATGCCATTAATCTTCAGGCCCACCACCCAGACCCACCCTTCTTTCCATGTGGGGATGCCCCTAACCCAGTGGATGCAAACAAAGAGAAAGAGAGGATGTGAGAGGTAGGGTGTTTAACCACCAACTCTTAAGAGAGAATTTAGGACCACCCTGGGCTAGAAAAGATGGAGGGTTGTGAAGGGTCCTCCTTAGAGCTCAGCTCTCTTAGAAAGCCAGGGAAGGAGCTGTCCAAATGGAAGCCATAATCAATCTCTGTGGCTTTAGGCAATATGGTCTGCTTTATCAGACATCTACACCCACCCAGAGCTTATGATGGGAAGTTGATTCAAACTCCCATAAGCCCATAGTTTCTAACTCCTGGAGACTTCCAGCCTATCTCAATGTGGCAGGACTAAAGGGTTTTACAAGGTCATATGGAAAGACAGGCAGAATCTATACTGAAATCACTTCTGAAGTACCAGGAGGCAGCAATCAAAGAGCCCAAACCTTCTGTTGGAACCCCTTGGTCAGAGACACGGGAGCCATTCTAGCACACAGCTAGAGGCTTTCCGAGAGTACATGTTCCAAGGCACACAACTCCAGGGCCTGCCAGGCACGCCATCGTCTTTGTGGATTTTCCCCTCTGGAGTTGTGCAGTGCCCGGCATGTGTAACCATGCTGGCAAGCCTTGCCTTGGCACCTGTAGCTGATACCATAGACCTAGAAGCCTTCTTAGTTCTGTAGGCACTCGCCTCCGCAGCTGGCAGAGGTCTGCTCGCAGTCCCTCCGTCTCTCACACTTCCTCTCTCTCTCTGGGAACCCTCCTGCATGCAACCCTACATGGATGAGTGATAAAGGCTGGAGACAGTGCAGGCAAGCCTCCTCTCATGGACCCAGTTCCAGGCTACAGCCCAGGACAGTGGGTAAGAGACAGAACGTTCAGAGCCCCAAGAGTGACTCACCTGCTGAGAAATCATATTAGTTATCAGCTCCTAGGCAGGCAGCAGCCACAGCCATCAGAGAATTAAACATGCACAATGTTAGTCAATAGGCTGGGGAACTAGAGAACATCAAGACAAATGCAGGCATCCTTGGTATCTGTTCTGTCCTCTGTGTCCCCAGGAACAGGAGACAGGAACCAGGAAAGAGCTGTGGACAGCAGCTCAAGGTAGACATGCACCCACAGAACCCAAAGAAACAAACACCAGGCAGCCCCGTTACTTGGGGACCAAGGAGGCACCCAGTTGGGCCACGTAGCCCCCAAACATGAGAACTAGGACGCTGATATTTGGCAGTAGTTCTTTCTTTGCCTCTGCTGAGAACCTGCTGAATGGACAGAGGGTGTTCCTCCACCCAGGTGAACTTTGTATCAGTCCATGGACTTGAATAAGAAGCCTCCGATAGTCCCCATCTTTGAGTCAGGAAAAGCAGGTGACCTTGAATCTGCTGCTCTCTTTGCCTGTCTGATGTCTAAGAGGGCCGGGGAGCACAGCTTGTCCTGTATCTTTCTTCCTGACACTGATGGAGTAGAAGCCAGGGTCTCAGACCCTACCTAGAACATAGAGGACTCAGGACCTTCTCTGCTTCATGGCTCAAAGCCTGGGGCCCTAAGATGCAGAGAGGTAGTGAGCAGGTGTTTGACTTTTGGCATTGCTCTAGCTTGACTTTAGTTCTAGATGCTGCTGTAAGCTAGGCCCAGGTGAGCTATGAGGGAGTGGGACCTGCAGCATGAAGCAGACAGATCAGAAGGGTTTAAGAAAGACTCATTTCTCAGCAAGCTGGGAGGCCTTAAGTCCCATATGAATTCTTTCCTGACTGTCTCCCATCCTAGCTCAGGCCCTTGGAGTTTGGAAAGGCAAGTTCAAGAGCCCAGAGAGTGACTCACAAGTGAAGAAGAGACATGCATTTGCTATGTCTGATATGTACACTTCACCCTACCCTGTCCTACTCAGGGCACAGGTGCTCACATAACTCTTCCCAGCTCCTGCAGCCTTGACTACTGCCCATGACCAGGGCAGCTTAACCACAGCATGAGCCAAAATGCTGCTTAGAGTTAAGAGCACAGGATCAGATGTCACAGACACACACATTTAAATCAAATAAATAATCAGTTGTTTTATCTGGAACCCCAAGACAGGGCTAGAGTGTCAACTCTACACCACTCCTTTGGCCGGGCCCCACATGACCTTGGCTCTAACTGCCTCACGAAGAGTCATCTCCGGGTCTAGACTCGGTAAAAAGCAAAGTAGGGTACCCTCTGCAGTCTTGTGGAAGGCGGACCTCAGCAACTAGTCACCAGCCAGAGCTCAGGACCCTTGAATATACCGGAAGTGCTCAAAGCTGGAGTCCTGGGCCAGGCAGAGATGAAAAAAATGAGCATGTGAACCTTAGAAGACGTGCAGAGAAAGCAAGGGCCATAGGGCCCCTGACGGTCATCACCAAGTGGACCTGTGGAAGGCCCCCAGGCAGGACAGTTGTACTCAGGTTCCAGAGCCTTGAACATCTTCAAAGTCACTCAGTATTAGAAGATGAGGTATGACAACCAGTACCCCTGGAGGTCATTTTAGACCTGTATCTGGCTACAAAACAACTCCCCTTCCATTCTCTGTGGCTGGAGAAACTGGCTATCATGTACACAGAGACTCAGCAGGTCCTCCCAGGCCCCAGTCTGTCTTGATCCCATGAAATAGCATGGAGCAACATGCATCTTCGTCCCTATAGCCTTAACATCTCTGTAGGCAGATGTGTATGTGTGCGTCCATGCATGCGTGCACACATGCATATACAAATGTGTGTGCGTGTGCCTGTTCACGTGTGTGTGTGTGCAATGTCAATGTCCAAGAGAAAAGAGGGTACAATCTTACCTGGTGCCTCTGATATGCTGAGAACATTTTTTCAAAATCTTCCAGGTCCAGAATCCGAAATACCTGCGAGTCATCAATCTCATTCCACACGGTGCCAGAGACACGCTCCTGAGAGTCAGGGTAGGGAGAAGGACCATGGTTGACCTGGCTCTTCTATGACAGAGCCACCAAGATTTCCCTAACATCACTAGTCTCCAAAGGCACATGTTCCAGTGGCCAACCTCTCAGATTTCCAGAAAGGAGTCCAATGACACCACCCCCTCTCCAATGTCCCTCTTCTACAATACTCTTGATAGAGACAGAAGACACCTTGTCCTCTCTCCCTCTAATGTGAGGCCATATAGAAGTATCTGAGAAATCACTGCAAGGGCTGGAGTGTCGGGGCACATGTATGAAAGTTGAGGCTCTATTAAGCTAAAGGCAACACTCTGAGGGTACACCGCAGACCGTTCTCTGACTGGAGCCCTTGAAAGCATTACAGCTCACATATATGTGGGATAGTCAGGGCCTGTGCAGAGATTGCATTTCCTGGGTCTGAGACGGTCATTTTCTTTCCCGGGATCTTGTTCCTACTTTCCTTGGTTCCCAGAAAGAGGACATGTGCCAACTGCTGGGACATGCTGGCCCCATGTAGTAACTCTGCTCGGATCAGCAAAACGCCTCAAGTTCCTGTTTGGTCAGAGTCAGGGAGGGTATGACCATCTTTTATGTTTGCAGTGGGCCCAGATGTTTACAGTCTCAGTTAAGGCACCATCCCATTGTTTTGGAGGACCCTTGTGCTAGGGTCTATAGAAGCCCAAACTGCACCAGTAATCTCGTAACATTGTGTTGACGGTCGGTCAGGAGGAAGGGAGCGTGGAGGGCAAGCACAGGATAGGAGAGCACTCCTCATTGTGCAGCCCTGCTTCCAAGAGTCCTCATTTCATCTACATTAGCCTTTGGGACTAAAATTACCCAGTCACCTACTTCCATCTGTCTAGAGGCCAGCAGGCAACCTCCCTACCACCCCTTCCTACATCTCCTCCTCAGAGTTGAGAGTGTACCTTTCACTCACTTCTGTTTTCTTAAACTCTGAAAAGGGGAGGCTAGGCCAGAGTCGAGAGGGAGGAGACATTCCTGTGGCCTTCCGAGGGCCAGGGACCCTCCTGTGGAATGCTGAGCTGGGGAGCTCACAGCAGCAAGGGATACAGGCAACTGGCCAAAGCCAACACAGACAGATTCTTTTCGTGGTGGAAACAACCACTGTGTGTGTGTGTGTGTGTGTGTGTGTGTGTGTGTGTGTGTGTCCATGTGTGTGAGTGCACACACAGGAGCACACATGTAGGATAGAGGAAGAGACTAGAAAAAGAAAACGCAACTGGGCTCCTGGAAAGGAAGGTCTGAGAGGCAGAGATAGAGGAAGGGATGGGAACTGAGTCAGGAAGTCAGGGAGAGGAGCTAACTGAAGCAGTGGGGTAACCTGGGGACCTAGTGTCTCCTATACAGGGGTGGGAGTGGGGAGGTCCATGAGAGGAAAGCTTCTAGTCATTGTGGAGGTCAGTGAGAAGATAGAGGCACTCAAACGTTTGAGTATTCAATATGGCAAGCCAGTCGCCTCAACCTTCACTGCTCCCCAAACACAGCTTGTCTCCACATTGGCCAAGGTTTTCATCCCTCCATGGAAGCATCCTAGGGTCCAGGCCTTTCTCACAATCACCACATCATAACTTTCATCATATCTCCCTGGCATAGCCACCTAAATTATGCAATTTAAGTTTTCTAACACTCTGTCATCTCTAGCCCAGGTTCCTGGGACATGACAATATTGGAGAAGCTATTGATGATCTTGTCTGTTTCTTCTTCTTCTTCTTCTTCTTCTTCTTCTTCTTCTTCTTCTTCTTCTTCTTCTTCTTCTTCTTCTCCTTCTCCTTCTCCTTCTCCTTCTCCTTCTCCTTCTCCTTCTCCTTCTTCTCCTCCTCCTCTTCCTCTTCCTCTTCCTCCTCTTCTTCCTCCTTCTCCTCCTCCTTCTCCTTCCTCTTCTTCTTCCTCTTCTTTTTGTTCTTCTTCCTCCCCATCTTCTTCCTCCTCCTCCTCTTCCCCCTACTCCTCCACTTCCTCCACCTCTTCTACCTCCTCCTTCTCTTGTTTTCCTGTGAGTGCTATGGATCAGGTCCCCAGGCTTGTGTGGAAAGTACTTTTCCAATTGAGTTATCTATTTAGCCCTTTCTTTATATTCCAATAAAAGTATCTTTATATTTTTTTGTGGGGGAGGCACAAATGCCACCACACACGTGTTGAGGTCAAAAGTCAACCTGCAGGAGGCTGTCCTCTCCTTCCACCTTATAGGTTCCAGGGATTCCAGTCAGATTGCCAGGCTTAGCAGCGAGCACCTTTATGCACTGAACCATCTCACTGGCCCTACCTTACTACATTAAAAAAAAAATTACAAGTTGCGAGTACAAATTAACATCTTTTGCTTTCCACAAAGCTTCTGGCTCGAGGTTCTAGGATGTGGGTTGCCTGCTCATGTGCTCCTGGTCCATGTCTTTCTCACTGCCCCATCACAAAGCAGCATGCACAGGTCAAGCTGCTGACTAGAGAAGTTGTCAGGAGATTACACCTATCTCTATCTATCTATCTATCTATCTATCTATCTATCTATCTATCTATCATCTATCTATCTATCTATCATCTATCTATCTATCTATCTATCTATCATCTATCTATCTATTATCTATCTATCTATCTATCATCTATCTATCTATCTATCATCTATCTATCTATCATCTATCTATCTATCTATCATCTATTCTATCTATCTATCTATCATCTATCTATCTATCTATCTATCATCTATCTATCTATCTATCATCTATCATCTATCTATCTATCTATCATCTATTCTATCTATCTATCTATCTATCATCTATCTATCATCTATCTATCATCTATCTATCTATCTATCATCTATCTATCATCTATCTATCTATCTATCTATCTATCATCTATCTATCATCATCTATCTATCTATCATCTATCTATCTATCATCATCTATCTATCTATCATCTATCTATCTATCTATCATCTATCTATCTATCATCTATCTATCTATCTATCATCTATCTATCATCTATCTATCTATCTATCTATCTCTTTACCTATGTCTATATCTAAATAGTCTATATCTGTATTTACATCTCTCTCTCTGTCTCTCTGTCTCTCTGTCTCTGTCTCTCTCTCTCTGTGTGTGTATGTGTGTGTGTGTGTATGTGTGTGTGTGTGTATGTGTGTGTGTGTATTCTTTTTCTTTTTTATATCCCGACCACAGTTTTCCCTACCTCGTCTTCTCAGCCCCTCCCCCACCTCCCATCTGCCCCCCCCCATAATCCACTTATTTCCCATATTTCTTCATAATTTGGCAGACCTCCCTTGGATATCAATCAACCATGATATATCAAGTTGCAGTAAGAGTAGGCACCCCCTCCCTTGTATTGAAGCTGGAGGAGACAACCAGGTAGGAGGAAAAGGGTCCCCAAAGCAGGCAACAGCCCCTGGTCCCGCTGTTAGGAGTCTCACGAGAAGATCAAGTTACCAACTGTAACATATAGAGAGGGCCTAGGTCAGTCCCATGCAGGCTCCCTGGTTGGCAGCTCAGTCTTTAAGCGTTAAGGGTCTAGCTTTGAAATGCTATTCCAGGTGGCCTGAGTGCTGTAATAACTCAGAATCTTCGATACCATGATGGTCAATCAAGCTATGGTAACCGACCAGGCAAGTGATTTCCTTTGTGGCAGTTAATTAGAGGCACCATAGGATGGGTTAGGGGCTGACTCCTCTCTTAGCCCATCTTCCAGACTTGTAAGCACTTCAGGCTACATATCTTAGTCAGTCAGACCCAAAGCTCTCAGAAGGCAGTGCCATCTCTTTCTTCATCATCTCCACCTCATTCTTTCAGACAGGATCTCTCACTGAACTGAAACCTTGTCACTTTTAGAGGTAGATCTTTGGTTAAGCCATGGGGTTAGCAAGCTCCTGGGATCCCTTGTCTCTGTCCCACAATGCTGGGGTTAAAAGCATAAACACCCATAACTGTATTTTTAATGTGGATGATGGGTTCAAGTTCAGCCTCTCATTCTTACAGGCTCTTATTGTTGCCCACTGAGCCATCTCCCTAATGTCTGCTTCTCAGTGAACACAGGTTCATCAGCAAGTGGCTTTGACAGTAAATATAAGGTCTACAATAAGCATTCCTCCCAGTGTTGGCGCCCTCAGTGGGGACACTGAGCCACCTGACTCCAGCAAACCCCTCTTCAGTACCCATCATGTCCACCCTAACACCTGACCCAAAGGAGAATCAAGATGCCTTGTGCAAAGAGCATGGTGCAGACCGTGGGCCTGCCCAGTCCCGTAGTGCCTTACCTCATTCAGTTTGACCCAGTTGAAAGACTTCAATGGGTGTGAAGGCTGGGGGATGCGCTTTTTCCTGAGTGGGGCTTCATTGCTGGTGAAGGGGTCATGAGGCCGGGGTGGGCCTGAGCTGAAGCAGGGTGGGGCACCTGGGGGGATGGGAGGCCCTCCTGGAGGGAGGGGTGGTGGGGGTGGGGGTGGGCAGCTATCAAGGGGGAGAGGAGGTGGGGGTGGAGGCAGATCGTTGGTTGTTGTGGAGGAAGACAAGGTGAGTGGACCTCCAGGGGGAGGTGGTGAAGACACCGGGCCGGTCTGTGGGAAGATAAAGAAAGGCAGGCATCTTGAGCTCCACATTACCCTTTTTTCTCTCTCTGCCACTCACCAACACACACACACACACACACACACACACACACACACACACACAGCAACCAGAGTCACACCATCAATGAGAAACGTCAGGATGAGGCATTCATTCAGCAGTACAGGATCCTCCTTGCACAAAGACATCCAGCCAAAAGGAAGGGACAGAAATTCTATCTGCATTTTCTTGTCCAAGATACACTTCTGGGAGCCATGTCATCCAAAGGATGTGTGTTCGTTTGCTTGTTAACATAATGTGCTGACCCATATGGACTAAAGAGCCACTGTGGTTGTGGCCCAAGATCGTCCTTTTTCTTCTCCCTCATCTTGGGGTTCTTGTCTTCTCCCCACACCTACTCCACCCACTCAGACCTGAAACTCACAAGGCTGGCTCAACTATTTAAATGGGGAGGGGGTGATGCCCTAAGCGTACTGAGCTTTCATTAAGTTGGGCTACCAGCTCTGCCACTTGTCCCCTAGCTTGGCGCAGCTCCTGGGACTCTCGGGCCAGCTTGTCCTTCATCTTGTTGAGTGTCCGCATCATCTCCTCCTTCTCCAGTGTCTTTATCTCACATTCCCGCTCTTTCCTCTCCAGCCGGCTCACGAGCTCCATGTGTTCTGGAGGGAAATGGGCCCGGAGAGAAAGTGAGAGGAGAGAGTTGGGGTCCCAGGCAGGACGGGAAAGGGCGTGGGGAGTAGGAGCATAGCTGCTTTAAGCAGATCCTCTCACCTTTCCGGAACTTCTCTGCTTGGTCCCGCCACTGCTTCACCTCATTCTCATTGATGAGCCTGTTGAGAAGAGGAAGGGACCACATGACTTTGACAGTCACCTCTCCTCTTCCTGGAAGACAGACATCTCTATTCCCCTGAGGAAGACCCTGATCTCTGATCTGTCCAGGCATTGGCTTCTCAGATGTCTCCCCAGGTCCCCATACCAAACCCTTCTCACTCGGTGTCCTTGGGGACCAGGAGAACAGGACGGACCCCGAGTCATCTTCCAATCCAACAGCCTGTGTGATGGCTGATGGGAAAGAGAGGCATGTGACTGAATCAAGGCTGTCTGCAATTCCATAAACACACACGAATGCGTGCATACATGCACATGCACATGCACACACACGTGCATGCATTCAGCACATATGTACACGGATATACAAGCACACATATGTGCATGCACATGAGCACGTGTACACACACACACACACACACACACACACACATCTTTGTAAGTAGATCGGTGCATCTAAGAGCCAGAAATGTCAGCCCAGTGTGTAAGGGTAAAGGCAGTGCCCACTCTGACGAGCAGAGGGGTGGCAGAGTGTGATCATGGCACATCTAAGACATAAGACAGCCTCACTTATAGCACACTCTTCTAACAGGTGTTAAAGTTAGCTTTGCCTCAGACCCTAAAGCTAGAGGGAATTGGCTCCCAGCATGATAGCCCAGTAGTAAATGAATTACATTTTTACATTTGTTTATGTATGTACTGCACACCACTGCATGTGAAATCAGAGAGGACAACTCTGAGAGTTCAATTTCTTCTTCAACCATGTGGGTTCCGAGGATTGAACTCAGTTCGTTGGGCTTGGCAGCTAGCTTGCTATACGCTTGCTGAGGAATCTTTCCAGGCCATGGTAAGATTGCTTTGGAGGGCAACTGCTGTGGTCACTGGAGTGCTACATCCTCTACCATCCAAAGAAGTGGCTCCTTGGGTGTGGACAGAGTTTTGCTTATGTTCCCTGATTGGGGAGGGACGCAGGGTAGACTGGTTTCTACTTGGAGCCAGGCAAATGCAGATGGTAAAGAAGGGCTAAACAACCCAAACAGTGTGGCTGTTCTGGGACCCATGAGCACCCCTAGGGTTTGCTGGCACAAGAGCCTGTGTGAGTGCAGTAGGTACCAGTTGGAGCCCTAGCTGGGCTGATGCCATTTTCCTATGAAACCCAGGGGTTCAATTAGGAGATAACTGGAAACATCGAACTGTAGGTTGGTGTGTGCTATGTTGCCAGGGATGCAAGAGTTGGTAGGAGGACCAAAAGCATCGACATAGCCAGATGGGAGTGGGGAACCTCTTGTATGGTCCATGAATTGTGTTCTACAGGAAAAAGCTCTTAGCAGAGAACTCTAGAAGATTCCAGTGTACTCATGTGCAGAACCGTAGCAGGAAGCCGTTTATTACATAGCCTATGAGTTAAGACCTTTCCCCCTCCTCTTCCTGCCTCCTGTCCCCAGCTGCATCTTGAAGGGTGTCTGTCAGGAACTTGTGTTAGCTAGTAGATTTGGGACACAGAAAGGGTCAGAGGAGTGTGAAACAGAAACAAGAAAAGCCAGCCATGCCACACACATGCACAGGCATGCACATGTGCACACATGCATATATATACACATGCATGTACATATGCATAGATTTCCTCCCCCCCATTTCTATTCTGACCTCTGGAGTCTCAGAGGAGAGATATTAAGGCTAAATCCGAGACATTTACGACCATGTTACATTTGGATCAGCCTTCTAATTTACAGTAGCTTAAAATGTTTTTAAAGACTTCTGCAACCCAAGAAAACACATGCACATGATATATGCATATACACTCCAAAACAAAAAAATAAATAAAGAAAAAAGAAAGCAAAATAATTGCCAACTCAAACTGGAGGACTGGGCTGGCTCATGAGTTGTAGTCTACTGGCCAGTGCTCTGTGTAACGCCCTTAGCAACACCCGCCCCCCTCCCCTTGCTTTGGCCTGGTATTTTGCCACAGAAACAAGCAAAGTTGCTAACTCAGCTGCCACACTGGAGAAGGCTTTTGTATCCTATGAGCAGAGTTTCTGAACACTAACGTGGGTTGAAGAGGGAACTGAAGTTTTGTTGGGAGAACCCAGAGTGGGAGAGAAGATGGCAGAGGCCAGCCATAACTCACATGTTGACGATGTTCTTGACATTAAAGTTGTCCAGTGGTGCCAGGTCAGGGTCCACACCTCGGTCATCCTGGAGGACGATCTGCTGAAGGATGCGGTCCAGGAGCTGCCACTGCTGGAAGTAGCCACCGTTCCGCTTGTCTGAGGGACAGAAGGCATCCATCTATCCTGAGCCCTGGAACCCCTGGAGTCCATGACTCCCTAAGATCATAGGGCCAGCATGGCAAACCCTTCCCCCTTTCAGGGAGCCAGCTCCTGGTCTGGTGGAAGACACAGTGTTGCTTCCAATCATGAAGACTCACAATCCAGTCAACTCTTCATTATCTGTGGTTCTTTTCATGGCCTGGTGAACCCTCCTGACATTTTTCTATAGCATGAAATGTTCCTATTTCTTACTGAGACACTGGGCATACAATGCCCTGGGCATGAATGGCTTTTTCTACTGTCTACATAAAACACTTGTTTAAAAATATTACATGATGAATCATGAAGTCTCCAGGGAAAACTTGAAACAAGAGTTCATGATTATCTTTGTTTTCACCTTACAGAAAAAAAATGGCAGCTGGTTTCCAGATGTGTGCTGAGTTCAACAAAATGGGTTAAAGGGCTGAGTAGAACCCAGGGAGACTTCTTGGTGAAGAAGGACTTCAACTATGAAGACCTCATTGATCACAGTCTACCTGGATGTGGACATCCTTTTTACAAGATAGCTGGCTACCGTTCCTTCCTTGGTTGCTTTATCTTTAATGGCTACTAGGAAAAATCACTTTAATCTTGACATCAAATTCTGCCTACAAGCTAGGCAGTTGTGCCTTCAAAGCCCCATTTAGAGACAGATGATAGGAGGCCGTTCACATTGCTTATGGACCACCAAACAGTGAGAGACTGGGTGCGGAAGAAATCAGATTCTAGCACCTTCTGTGGAGATCCAGACTGAGTTTTGGATTTAAAAAAATGTGTGTGTGTGTGTGTGTGTGTGTGTATGCGTGTCTCCAAAGGCCAGAAGAAGTTTTTCAGATCTTCTGGAGCTGGAGTTACACACATCTATGAGACACTCAACATGTGTTTTGGAGACCTGAACCCAGAAGAGAAGCAAGTGCCTTTATTTGCGGAGCCATGGTCCAGCCTCCCGGCCGAGTTTGGAGAACTGTGGCTTCCTGCTGCAGTTCTGTGTGTTCAGCCCCCTCTCACACTGCTCTACCAACACCACGTTGCCAGCTTGTCCACTTGCTGTTTCCCAGGAATGCAGTAAAGCCAGCTCAGAGCTCCGTGTTTCATCTAAAGCCTGACCCCAAACCGTGAAAAACATCTCTGTGTGAAGAACTCACTCAGAAGTAACAGCATACAGGTTGTCCTCAGGTTCAGAGACAATGTGCTAAGAATCTCCTATCACAGTGTCCCCCAAGGTGGAACTAGTTGTCACCAACATCATTATTACTGTGACTTTGGTGATCCCGATTAGGCTGATTATTACAGAGGACCAAACAAAATTTCAAGATATTCTATTTTCGGAAAGCTAAAGTAACAAACACGGAGTGCGGCTGAGGCTCCTAACCAATTATATTATGGGCAATGATGAGTAATTTTGAGTAATTTATTCTGTTCCCATAAACACATGGATTTGAGAACTCAGCCACCTGCTTGCAAGATGCCATTTGCTGTCCGTAAAGAAGGCAGGAGTCAGCAAGAATGGTAAAACGTAAAAATAAAGCCAAACATGAGGCCGGGGAGATGACTCAGACTGCTAAAGTGCTGGCCACACAATCATTAGGACCAAGTTCCATCCCTAGTATCTAGTGTAAAGGGGCTGGGTGCGCAGAGGCAGGAGGATCTCTGAGGCCCACTGGCCAGCCAGCCTAGCAGAATATGAGGTCTCCAGGTTCAGTGAGAGATCATAACTCAAAAACTAAGGTAGAGAATGACTAAAGAACATACCTGATACTGACTTCTGGGGTGTACACATGCACACACATGCACACACACACACACACACACGCACACACGCACACACGTGCATACACAATTACACCGTAGTCAAAACAAACAAAGCAACATGAGCATTGGATGTCTGTTCTCTTCCTCTAAGCATGAAACTTCCTTTTGCAAACGGACCTGCCATCAACAGGTCACAGAAGATGCATTTCGGTCATGATTGAACTTCTGTCTGTTGGACTATGAGGCTGGACTTGCTCTAACCATGTGCTTAGCTCCACCTCCAGTGTGGCAACCCAACGATGGAGGAGCTCAAGTCACCGGGCCTGCCCTCACAAAGGCAAACACAGAGGCCAAAGCTCTCAAAGGCTCACATTGACCTGGCAGACAAAGACCAAGGCTTGAGAGAGTGATGGTGAGAACAGGGTACTCACAAGGCATCTGCAGGCAGTGATGCAAGACAGAGAGCAGGCAGGGGTAAGCTTCTGTGTGCTTCAGCTTCTTGTGGATTAGCTCGAACATCTGGGAGGCACTCTTGGTGTCAATGTGGACCTGGGGGAGTTTAGACCACAATGTGGGTGTGGGGTGAGCCAGACACAGAGGAAGAAATCAAAGGCCAGAAGATAGTATTTCCATCTTCCCAGCCTCATCCATCTCCTGGTAAGAGTTTTTCTTTCCTGACTATCACCCAGGAGCAAAAGAACAAAGACAGATGAGATCAAAGGGAAGAGTTAGCAATTATACAAATAAATTTCTCCAGCTCAGTACCACTGGCATCTTGGGGCAGACAATTCTTTGGTGGGGGTAGAACATTCCGTGTCTTGAAGAACACTTAATGATATCCATAGCGCTACACCCTAGATTCCAATGGTGCCCTCCTACTTCCCTCCCCAAGTTGTGACATGCAAGACATGTCCACTCTAAACCAATGCCCCATGGATAATAAAACTACCCTGGCTAGGAACAGCTGACCCACACTAAGGGAAGGGAGCGGGCATAGATGTTTTAAAGAAGGTGGTGGCCTGTAGCTCAGGCTTTGTGAGCATGTAGTGGGTGACGCTTGTTGCCTGTAAGTCCTGCCCAAAAAGAGGCTATTGTTTAGGCAAGATTATAAGATATAACATGTGGGCAGTGGAGAGGTGTGTATTCAGAGCTGTTGAGAGGCTCAGATGGAATGGGTAGAAAGAGGCAACCTGGGAAATTTAAAGGAGGCAGGAAAAAGCCAGTCCAGGGAAAGAACTTGAGACTAAGCGTGTCCACATGCTGGCTGTCTTGCTTTGTTACTTTTGGTTTCCTGGGGAGCCGGTGACCAGGTACAGCTCATGAGGTGAGGCTCTAAGAGCCAGCACACCACCGGAGCTCCTTGAGAAACAGGACTTGGCCAAGGGGTAGCACTGGGACCTAGCCAGCACTGGACTGACCTTGAGCATAGACTCTGGAGCCATGGTTGTGCCCAGGACTCCATACAATGGTCCCATCCCCACAAGCACCTCACCATATCAAACCTCCGGGCTAGCTCCAGGTCGTCCTCATTCCGGACCATCTCAAAGAAGTCTAAATGCCTAGAAAGACAGGGAAGATAGATATGCGGTGCAGGGAAAGTGATATTAAAGGTAGAACAGTCCTGACAGAAGGTTCCAGCCCCTTCAATATCCCCTTACTATCTGAAAGCTTTATTCAGGTGAGGCTAAGGTAAGACCAGAAGAGGCTATGCAGTATGAGCCAACCTCCTTCTCCTTGATACGATTTCATGGTCTTCCCTCAGGGTGGTCATGCCAAGGTCCAGCCACCACAGGTCACATTTCTCTACTTTGACATTTTTGACTTGTTAAGCACAGTTGTTCCTTGGTGGTGGGAGCGGCTTTGTGTGTTCCAGGTTATCACTAATGTCCCTAATTAATTAGCCCAATGTCCTTTATCCCAACCACGATGGATCGAATATGCAATCCCAGCACTCAGGGGGCTAAGATAGAAAAGTGTCATGAGTTTGAGACCAACCTGGGGTGTGTATTGAGTTCCAAGCTAGTCTGGGCTGTAGTATTGAAACCCTGTTTCAAAAAATGCAGAAGTTCCACTCCTAACTGTGTCAACCCAAAACACTTTTAGGCACTGCTAGATATCTCCTGGAGGATCAAACCACCCGTTTCCAAGGACCACTGTCTGCCCAGTATTACCATGTTTTCTGCAACCGAGTCCTCAAAGCCAACCTCTCCTTTACTTTCCCTGGAAACACTGCCCCCTTTCCACATCAAAACAGTTGTTTCTCTTTCTCCTTCTCCCTCATCCTGGTGTGTATGTGTGTGTATGCATGTGTGCACACGTGTGTGAATATGTATGTATATGCACATGTGAACACATATGTATATGTGTATATGTGCGTATGTGTGTGAATATGTATGTATATGTATATGCATGTGTGTATGTGTGGGTACATGTATGTATTGTGTGTATTTATGTATATGCATGTGTGTACATGTGTGTATATGTGTATAAGTGTGTATATGTATTGTGGTAAATATGTGTGTGAATATGCATGTATATGCATGTATATGTATGTACATGTATGTATATGTATGTGTACATGTGCGTGTGTGTGTGCGAGTGTGTGTGTGTGTCTGTGGTATATGTCTGTACTTTATGCACATTTGGAGATCAAGGGAGGATATTGTTTGAGTGTCCCTTCTATCCCTCTACCTTTTCCTCTTGAACCAGGTCTCTGGTCTCTCACTGAACCTGGAGCAAGACTGGTGGTGGCCAGAAAGCCCTAGCAATCTTTCTGTCTCCCTCTCCCAGTGTTGGTGTTTCAGACCCCCTGGTGGCCATAGTTGGCTTTTTACATGGGTCCTGGGGATTTGAACTCAGTTCCTCATGATTGCACAGTAAGAACTCTTACCTGCTGAGTTATCTCCCAGCCCTGTATGCTCTCTTCTTAAAACTCACTGTAATAAACTGCTTGCACCAGTGAGATAGCGCCAATGTGGCTCACGGGTAACACATAGCATGACCAGTCATTTTGATCAGCAGGGAATTTACAGCATACCTTCGGGGGTGGGGGAATTCTCTGTAGAGCTGGACATTTAGCATTTCTGCTCCCTCAAAACTAAGAGTGTCAGCAGTGCTCACCCAGACCAGGTTGAAAACCAAATGCCCACACCTATTCCTAGATGTCCTAGAAGCAAGACAACCTTGATTGAGAACCACTGGGTTCAGGGCTGAGATAAGCAGGCCCGCATGGGTTCATGTGCCATACACAGTGCTGACATCCCAGGTTTGTGGTGGGTCTGGGCAGCTGAGGCCTTACTTGTCCAGGATGGCATTCTCGTGTTGCCGAAGTTTATCAATCACTGGCTGGATCCCCAGCATCAGGAACTCATACCGGAGATGCAGACGGAATTCCAGGTTATCCTGAGGGTCACCAAGGGAGGATCAGACTCAAGGGCTCATCTCATGTCCAAGAGACACACCCATAGGCCCGGTCAGCATCCAGATCAGCCACAGTCCCATATCACATTCTGCAGCAAACTCATTGAGAAGCACTTCCAGAGACTGCCTCTGACCTTGCTATTTCTTTGAAGCAAACCTGTCAGCAAGCCCCTGGTCACCCTCTCACTTCACTCCAGTCCCTCATCAATGTTAGCTTGCCTTCTGGTGTCAAATAATACTGCCGCACAGCAACACGACAGGGGCTTGGCTATGCTCCTGTTCTGCTGCCCAGTTTTGTAGTCTTGGCTTTGCATCTGGGGGATAAATTATATTACTTATCTGAGGAGGTTTGAATGATAACGACCTCCATAGGCTGACATATTTGAATGATTGGTCCACAGTCAGTGGAACTGTCTGGGAAGGATTTGGAGGTGTGGCTTTGTTGGAGAGGTGTGTCACTGGGGGTGGGATTTGAGGTTTCAAAATCCCACACCATTCCCAGTTAGCACTCTCTGCCTTGAGCTTGTGACCCCCATGCATGCATATGTACGTTCTCAGCTTCTACTCCAGGTCATGCCTGCCTGCCTCATGCCATGCTCTGCACCACGACACTCATGGGCTTAAGCCCCCAACAAACTCTTTCCTGGGCAGGTGTCTCATCACAGGCATAAAAAAGTAACTAAGGCAGAAGTTGCAACCAAGGAGTGGGCTGTGGCTGTGACAGGCCTGGCTATAATGTGTTTTAGAGAAATGTGGATAACTTTGCGACTTTGAACTAGGAAAGCATTGAATTCTGTAAGTGGAGCTTAACGGGCCACTCTAGCTGGAGCTTGAGAGTTAATAGTGCTGCTGTGAACAATGTGGACCATGGAGGCTTCATAGGAGCACAGTATTAGCAAGTGGCTTAGGGACCATTCTCTTGTGATATTTTGGCAAAGAATGTGGCTGCTGTTTTCTCTGGCTCTGAGGATCTGCTAGATTGAAGGGCTTTGCATTAATTTCTCTGACAGAGGAGACTTTAGGATAGATTTTATGACTGACTGTCTCCTGATGATTCGTGATCACTCTTACTCTACATTGAAAAAGAGTAAGTAGGGAAAAAGAAAGACCCTGTGAACTGTTTCATTTAATGTTGGAGCCAAGGCCTGTGCTAAAAGACATAAGGAGAAACAGAATAAAAGGAGATCTATCTTCAGGATGAGACCCCACCAGAGTTTGAGGTCCTAGAAAGCACCAGCAAGTCAAAAGTTATGCAAGTGCTATTTGAAGAGGAGGCCTGGTTCCGCTGCAAACAGGCAGCCTAACTTGGCAACATCACCATGTGGTTCTGGATTTAGAGTTATAAGAGAGGTAAGAGTAAAGGGGAATCATCCTCCTCAGTTAAGGAAATCCCCCAAAGCTAGGTGTGTGGTAGGGATTTCCCCACATGGAGGCCCAGAAAGGCCATTGTATAAAGCTGTAAAAGAGAAGCTTAGCTTATACCAGAGACCCCAGGATGTTGGAGACGCCAGAGTCATGGGATGCCTGTCAAAGAGAGCTGCAGAGCAAGCATGGGACCAGCCCAAAGAGAGAAGTTTGTTGCAGTCAGCAAAGCTGGAGGGAAGAGCCATCTGATCCCTTTGACATCTGATATAGAGCTATAGGATTTAGAACTTGCCCTGCTGGGTTTGGGTCTGCTTTGGTCCAGTATTTCTTCATTTGCCACTCCCCACTGCGTATTCTGTGTCATTGTATGATGAAAGTATGTAATTTGCCTTTTGATTTCACAGGGTTTATAATTAACAGGTTTTCTTGAATCTCAGTAGAGACTTTGGACTCTTAAACAATGTTGAGACTACAAATTTGGAATTTGGACTAAATGTATTTTGCATTATGATATGGCCCCAGGCTTATGTGGTAGTTTGAACAAGGATGGCCTCCTGTAGGCTCATGTATTCGAATGACTGGTCTCCAGTTAGTGAAACTGTTTGGGAAGTATTAGAAGGTGTGGCCTTGTTGTAGGTGTGTCACTGGGAAAGGGGCACAGGCTTTGAGGTTTCAAAAGGCCACACCATTTCCAGTTAGCTCTCTTTCTTTTTCTTACTTGCTGACCAGTATGTGAGTCCTTAGCTATTGCTTAAGTATCATGTGTGTCTGTCTATTGCAATGCTGCCCACCATGACGGCCGTGGACTCTAGTCTTCCAAAACAGTAAGCTTAATAAAACTTTTCTATAATTTTCCTTGGCTATGGTGTCTCATCACAGCAACAGGGAATTAACTAAGATGGTTTATACTCTTAAAATGTGCCTGGCATTTTACAACTTCCAACATATCGGGACAAATGAGTGTAAAAAAAGGCTGGTATTGATGTCACATGATGTTCGAATCTTAGGGATAGGTTATTCTGTAGAATATCTGATGTAATCCAGGTAATGAGAATTGTATACACACATACAAAGGCATTCTGGCAAGAAAATGGAAAAAAGGGGAGACCGTTAATTGTTCTCTTGGCCTCTCTTGGCCTCATTGGGATTTGTGCCCAACCCACAATGCACCATGCTACTGATGAAGGAAATTGCCCAGAGCCTTCTCAGACTTAAGACAGAACCAAACTGGACTGGAACAGTTGCTTGTCTTAAAAATTGGGACTTCAGTTATTTTTCAGGTTTTTCTAATGTTATTTCTTATTGTTATTATTTCTAATGTAAGGGACTGGGAATCCCATTCTGTTCCCAGAAGAGGAGAAATCAGAAGCTGTACCTCTAACCCTCCTAGAAGAACGTGACTAACTAGCCTAGAAAGTGGTCCAAAAGTAGATCTCTAAAAACTTTGACAAAGAAGGACCAAAAGTTTCTCTCCTCCAGTAAAGAATTTTCACCCCTCCAAATCATCACCAGCCAGCCTCATTGTGGATTTGTGCCCAATCCACAATGTGCCATGCTACTGCTGAAGCAAACTGCCCAGAGCCTTCTCAGATTAGACAAAATCAAAAAGGATAGTGTGGGAAGCAAAGTCAGAATACCACATTGAACAGCCAATGCTAGATGGATTTGGGTCCCTGGAAGGTTGGGTCCTTGGTAGAGTTGGGTAGGACTCCTGCAAGCCATCCTTCCATGGCTCTAAGAGAAGGAGATAAGAAGTTCTAAGGGCATCTGAAGATGACAATGCCAGCAGTGGTCATAACAATTAGATGCTTCTGTCCTCTCTGTCACTTGCCTAAAAAGTTCTCAAACTCACATATTATCCAAAGTTCAAGAGTAAACGGAAGGGGCCTCACCTCTCCAGCGCCAGCATTGAGGACAGCATTGATGAAGGACATGATGGCTGTTTTCAGGTTTACCTCATCCCGGTACCGGCCCAAACTTCTATCTAGCTCGTTCAGCAAAGTCTAATAGGAAGACAGGGATGGTTGAGGAGGGGTCTCAGGATGTTCCCAGAGAAGCCTCTTCCCCTCTTCTACTGCCCTTCCAGTTACCTTGGAAGCCTCCCAGTACTCTCTGCCTGATCATGCCTCTCCAAATTAAGGGGTGCCTCTGACTCTCTACCGCTCAGTCCCAGGGCTTGGATTCTACTGCTGCGCTCTGATTCTGCACCAGCTGTTGACAGTTCATGGCCATTCCTGCCCACTCCCCCAACCTCATGGATGCTATTTTTAATCTCTTCATCCTTTGCAAAGAGCTAGGAACCACTTTCTGCACAAATTCATTGCTCATTTGCAAATGTGTAATGCTAGATTAACAGCCTGACTCACGAAACACAGAGTTTATAATGTCAGGTCAACTGCTTTAACTGGATGCCAGGCACTGAGCTAAGGCACTTCAGACACACGCCAGTAGGTGCATGTGGAGTCTCCAGTCGGGTCAGACAAAAGAAGGGGATCTAGCATGACCTGCATTCCCAGGGCTGGTCCCAGCATCCACAAATTTGGCATTCACCCAGGCCTAAAGTATTGACCCCTAATTGTACTCAGTTCAACAATTCTTGTCTGGGTCCCTATCATGAGCCAGGTGCTGATTTCAGAGAGCCAGGGTCACAAAAACATGAAGCAAAACAGTATCTTGGCCCCAGGGACCCACAGTCTAGTGAAGAGGACAAATCTGTTTTGAAAGCCAGACCACAACTCTGAATATACAATTTCTTAGGTCTCTTGTGGGAAGACTTCTGGGTCCTAGCTCTTCCTTCTGCGAGTGGACAGGGCAGTTTGCCAGGTGCCCCTTCCTTCCAGTTTCCTTTATGTGGTTCTTAGTCTGTCTTGCCTTTACCCTGTGCCATCCCATCCATCCCCCAGTTGATGCCCCAGCCTTCTAACCCACTGCCCACCTGGAAACGCGTGCGCTCGGCTGCATACACCTGGTAGTGTAGCATGGCCTGTAGAACCTTCTTGTGGCCTCCAGGCACAAGGCACACTGCACCCAGGATCTCCAGCACCGCAACCTTAGTCTTGCTGTTCTCAGTGCGGAGGCTCTGGGCGATGATGCTGATGGCTTCAGGTTGTGCCAGGACATGTGCCCGTCCCTGGGAGTTGTTCATCAGAGCCTTGATGCAGCCAATGAGAGATGTGTGGATGCGACTCTCACAAGTGGTGTGGTCCATGCCCCGGAGAAAATTCAGCAGACAGGTCAGGCCTTCCAGTTCGATGAACCGGGTCACAAACCTAAGTCAGAGCCCAAAAGAAGTTTTCTGTTTTTGAGTTCCACACATATTTTACAAATAACAATGACCTGATATGTGTACCATTCACCATGCTTCACTCATAGCAGCTGCTTGGCTCATTTATGTAGTTTATCCATAGGCCCAAACTTTCAACCTTGCAGAAGACTTAGATTTTTAAAATTCTTTTTTTTAAAAAAAAATTCTTTCTCTTTCTCTCTCTCTCTCTCTCTCTCTCTCTCTCTCTCTCTCCTCCTCCTCCTCCTCCTCCTCCTCCTCCTCTTCCTCCTCCTCCTTCTTCTTCTTCTTCCCCTTCCTCTCTCTCTCTTCCTCCCTCTCCCTCCCCTTCACCTCTCTTTGTATGTGTGTGTGTATGTGTGCATGTGTGGGTACGTACAGAACCTGAGAGGCTACAAGAGGCATTGGATTCCTGGAGTTGGAATTAAAGGCAGTTGTGAGTCACCCAGTATGGGTGTTGAGGACAGAACTCAGGTCCTCTGGAAAAGTAAGAAATGCTCTTAGCTGCTGACCACTCTTCCCAGTCCCAGACTGTTGGAAACACTGCACAAAGGTCCATGTGCCCACAGATCTCCAGGAAACCCAGCAATGTTAAGCACACAAGATTGTCCTCTTAAAGGAAGGATGTAAAACCTGTTCTTCCATCCAGAATGCTGGGAATTGAGGGTGATTAAATACTCTGGTGATCGCCATAGTTGGGTCAGGCCATATCAAGCTCCCACAATCAGGACTAGAGGTGGCTAGTAATCTAAAATGACCCTTACAGCCAGGGGCTCCCAAAGCTTTCACAATCAGGACCAGATAGACTTAAAAATCTAAATGACCAGCGGTGGCTAATGGCCAAATGACTTCTACACTATCTCTATGACCGAGACCACGGTAGAGCCTCACCTAGGCCCTTAAGCTTGTACAGCTAATCTGGCTCTAAAACGTATCTTCTTGGAAGAGGTGACATGTGCCCTGAGTTGAATGTCTATGCAATTATACTTACATGGGCACTGGTGACTGCATTACACCAGAAAACTTTCCCCCAAATTATAGTGTGTTTAAGTTTGCTGGGAATAAACTGTCTGGCATGAGACTCCCACAAAGTTTTGATCAAGGTTGACAAAGTCAATTTGAACTGAATTTTTATTTTCATCTCTTCAAGGTTCACTTCCCTGCTTGCCTACATTTACATTTTATTGGTATTTTATTTTTTATTGTGTGTGTGCATGTGTGTGTTCTTGTGTTTGTGCAAACACACCTGTGTGTGTGTGTGTGTGTGTGTGTACACATGTGGAAGTGAGATGTTAATGTCTCGTGTTCCCCTCTCTTGGTATCTACCCTATTTCCTGAGACAGGGTCTCTCAGTCAGTCTGGACCTAGCCAATTAAGTTAGCCTGGCTGGCCAGCAAGCTCCGGGGTATCATTTGCCTCTGTCTCTCAGCACTGCAGTTCCAGATGTATGGCTTTTAAACGGAGATCTGAACCCAGGTCCTGATGCTTGCTCAGCCAGGACTTTACCCACTGAGCCATTTCCTTTGGCCCTGTTATTTGCATTTTAAATACTGTGGTAGTATCTCCCCCAAAGACTTGCTTATTGAAAATTCAACCCCCAATTACTCAAGCCTGGTTTTGGAGGTTCTACAAACTTTAGGAGATGAGGAGCTGAAGAAGTAAATCACTGGGGCTCTGCCTCCAAAGGATATAGAGAGCTCCTGCTTCCTCCTCTGTCCCCCTGTCCACTGAGAGCAGAACAGCCTCTGCCACACACTCCCAGCACCATGGAATTTTCCTCACCAAAGGCCAGAACCAAAGCCCAGTAACCATACATTTGAACCCTCTGAAAGTCCTTTCTCCCCTTCAGTTGTTTTTCCCAGGTACTTGGGATCAGTGACATAAAGATAATTTACATACTAAATTTACATACCATGGATTGTCATTTGCATAGCTAAGATGGGGGGTATGGGTGAAAACATGCTTATAATCGGTACAGTGGGTCAGCCTGAAGACTCGTCTCTAATCAGATCGGTCACTGAGAGAATTATTGGCAGGAGACAAGAAAACAGTTCAGCATGGGAGAGGCATTAAAACTCAGAGTCAAGGGACCAAGGCTGAAAAGCTACCTTTCAGGAGACCCTGTGGAAAACAGCAGTTATCTTGATACTCAGCAATGCAACCATTTAGCCCTTATTCTGGACTCTATGTTCCCATAAAGAGCCTCTGGGAAGCACTCTGAGTCCAAAGACATCTATGGGAAAAGGGAATTACGCTCTCATCTTGGATAATCTCTAACTGGAAATTAGCATTCTGTCAATGACGAATGTGATCGGCCAACCACAGAACTGTTCGCAGAATCAGAGAATTTGCCACTCAAATAAATCACCGCTATTTTCATATCAAATTATAGCTGTTGTAGATATCTCAAAATATCATTTTCACACATCGGTACTTCAAGATTATAGTGCTTATCATACCCGCTGCCAGCTCTCACTGTTCAAGCATTAAAAAGCACATTTATTGCTATCTGCTGCATTTTTTAATATTTGTGAGAGCCTATTTTAATTGAATTGGCTTATTCTTCAACTCTGTTTGTTTGTCTCTTTTATGTTGTTATTTAAAACCATTACTTCCAGGAAGCAAGATTTTTAGCTTTTATCTGGGTGTCTGTGTGAGCGACATCTATGGCAATATATTAAAAAAAAAGAAGTTGTAGAGACCTTAATTTAGTAGCATAATTAATGATCTGAGAATGTGGCCATGAATTGAGTTCAGAACCAGTATTTATAATTAATATGTAAATGTATCTCTGTGAATTTTATGTTGTGTAAATACCAACAGAATATGCTTTCAACTTAACAATATGTATGTTTATTTTCCCTCTATTTTATGCTTTTCTGTATTCCACAAAGTTTCTACATTGATGTCATGTGATCCTTGAAATACGAATTCTACTGAGGGGAATTAAAATAACCTTTTGCTATATACTATTATATATTGTCTTTACCATGCGTTATGGACATAAACTCACGCTCATACTTAATAGAAAGAACATATATAAGAGCAAAATGTAGAAAATAATTGGGCAATTAGTGGCGTATGCCAAATATTGTTTTGAATATCATTTATTTAATCACAAGTCTACATAATTTAAAATGCAATCAAAGATTGGTCTAATAACTCATTTGCAAAATTGCTGAGGATTTAACAGTAGGCTTAGCCAATCTTAGAAGCCACTTTGAGCACACCACTGGGAAGAGTCAAAAGCAAAGAACTCTTGTGGTTCTTGGCTGCCTTTGCACTCTCCACTGTGGTCTAGGAAGGAGGAGATGTGTTCCTGTGGCCTTGGGGACACACATTCATCCCCTTCCTGCTTGGCTCCCACTTCAGATGGCTAGAGCACACTGTAGACTCTGCATCGTCCCCTAGCATGTGGAGGACTTCTCAACCCATGCCCTCCTCCTCCTTTGAGGAAGTGAGCTATCACTGCCTACCCTTTCTCGGAAAGTCATTTATTATACACCACCTGCCCCCAAGTCCTCTTTCCACTGCCTCAGGACCCAAGGCTTGTCCATTTACCTGCACCATCTCCCCTCCCGTCCACAGCCTTCCAGCAACCATCGAGAGAAATGGGAACTGGGAAGCAAAGAAGGTAAGTGTGGACTCTTAAGGAATTCTGCAAGTTTGACCAATAGAACCAGCATGGATCTGGGCACTGTGCAATGCCTCAGGATGACAGAGCCCCTGGGCAGGGGCAAGGAAGGAAGGGAGTGAAGGAGAGGGAGCAGTCTAAGTCACCTCATGGGTTGTGTCCGGAGGGCTGTCTTCAGGTCTTCTACCACCTGGCTCCTCTTGTCTGTCTCCTCATCTTCAGTTTCATACAGGTTCTGCATCTGAGGCCCACAGGTAAAGGGGGTAGAAGTCACATTGAGCTGCTTGCCTTCCAGGCCTCTGGAAGCTTCTGGACAACAGGGTAGCTGTGACTGGAGAGAGCATGCTGGCCTTGGGAAGGACAGGGACCCAGAGAATGTTCTACTATGAAAGTCAGACTCTGGGAGAACCCAGGTTCTGGTCTGTGACTTAACTTTCTGTATCTAGGAAATAGAGGG